CTCATAAGTATCCATTGGAGCAGTCGTTGGATGCGTTCAAAAAGATGATAGAAATGGATAACAATGCCATCAAAGTTCTCATTCAATGCAATAAAGATTTCAATTAAATGGCATTTGTTATAACGATACACAACTTTTAAGATTACAATTGTTTAATCTATTTTTTTATTATACTGTAAATGATTTCCGGTAAATCATTTGGGAAAATTTTGTTTGATTTTTATATACAATATGAAATAAACATACCGTAATTATATTGGTTTCAAAATTCATTTACGGTATTTACATTAAAATTGTTCACAAAATTGGTGCTAATTTGTGACTAACATATGAATTGATAAATAGTTTTCATCGTTAATGTAAACGTATTTTATAGAAAAGCAATTTACGAAAAATACGACAATTTGCCCAATAATTCAGTGTTTTGTCTCAAAACCTTTGTCCCGTTTATTGTTTTCATACTCTCTTTTGGCGGCTCTTAAGAGAACATTCGTTAAAAAGTTTTGGCTGTCGAGGGATGGGTTCCGGACAGAGGGTAAAGGGTTTCCTATCAAATAAAACCGTAAAATTATACAACAATTACAAAATAGGATTATAATAGAGTTATCGTACCTCTGAGTTCTAGTATGGCCTCCTGGTTCAGATCGGGTGACTTACCCTCCTGTCGGGTACCGGTGTTCAGTGTCCTACTGGTCTCGAGTGGCAATAAATGCATTGCTGTAAACGACTCGCTGTAACGCATATAACGCGGGACTAAGACTTTGAACAGTTTGTGGATTAGATTCTTCTCCTATAAGACGATAGCAGTTATATAAACGAGAGACAGACAGACAGAGAGAGAGAGAGAGAGAGAGAGAGAGAGTGAGAGAGAGCAAGCATTATATAGAACCTTCAAATAGAAGTCAGCCAGTTCCATAGTAGGTCGATGACAATCACCATAACGTATGGCTTCCATAATCAACTGTCCATTTGATGGGAAAATGTATGAAATGATCACATAATTAGATATAAGTGATATCATATAACAAATTAATGGGTAGAGATGTATGTATGGCGTGTGTGAGCCATGACCTACCCGTTCGGCATAGTTGCGGACCTCCCAGGCCTTATAATAGGTGAGATGTATGCGCTCATCCCTCACCAGATCGTTCACAGAGCGGGCAATAGTCTCGAGTCTCATCTGTTTGCCGAAGAGTTGTCGTCTCCACTCCTCCCCTCCTGAGTGAAACTAACCCAGCTGCCCATAGAGCATAGCGTAGGCACCATAGTAAAACAGCTGGGCACAGACGTGAGTTTCAGTTTTGTGTTAACGTAAAGTTTTGTTTTCAAATAAAACAGCAATTAAATGTGGACAAACCGTTGGATAGATTTTGTACATCCAGTGAGCTATCAAATGGACATGAAATTAGTTATCAGGGTTAATATGATCATAACGGTTACCCCAACCCTCCGGCGGGACATACCTTTGGGAAATTTATACACCATTTCGCAGTTTGTTTGGGACTTTAATTGCAATTAAATTGAATGACAAAACCGTTTGTGATGTGTGTCTCGCACTCACTGTAAGCACATGTAAACAAATGTCACGTGTTTTGCACACCTACTCACCAAACGGCACGTTATATACGGAACTGACAGTGCATTCAATGAATTCATTGCCATTTGTAAACATTAAATTGTTTTGAAAACTAGTTTTAATTGTCATTAAAAGCGAGAAATACATGTTTAGTTAACAATCAGTTGACTCATATATACCACACTGTGCGGTACTCACAGTTGTGGCGGCCGTTATCATAGCGTTTACGCCCGTTTGCAAACCCAGTTGTGAAAGGGATACGAAAGTCAGTCACAAACCGACTCCAAACATACGTAACATTGAAAGCTAATTAGTTTTAAAAGTTTTCATTAATTGTCTGCTTTTGTGTAATGAAGGGCTCATTGTATGCCAAATGTATTGAATTGAATGATATCCAAGACGTGAAGAAAGATATTTGTCATAAAGAGTTCATTCAATTGAAGCAATGCTTTCAAAATGCATTAAAAAAGGCGAAGAAATGATGATTTATTTATTCAAACATTAATATTACACTTAATTTATAAATTAATTGCTAACTCATAGTGTACTGCCGTTTATTATCTATTTTATTGTATTAATAGAGTTATGTGAATAGTTTTACACAAAATATATTACTCTACAATTAAAGTAATGTTTAAATGATAGTTTTTTAGTTTTATTTACAATTGTAATTATAAATAGTTGTATAAATGTAAGGAAAGGCATATTTGCAAATGTGGTTTTAAAAATTATAAAACCAGTACTAAATTTACAATATTCTCGACAAAACTTACTGGTATATTTATCTGGTACATATTTATTAAACACACAGAAGTTGTGACCATTTTAAGAATATACAAACAATAATATTTGTATGGATAATATTAAGAAGAATATTCAATGGTTAATAGATTTTGTAATTAAATATTTATCTATGTTAATAAATTACAATCTATAACTTGAAAGTTTTATTATAATTATCAAACATTTTATCAAACAAATTATCGTGTAATTATAAATATAATCAAACTACCGGTATTAATATACAGTATTATAAATTGTGATCAAACTTGTAAAGACAGTCTTCCCGTTATTTGCAATACTTTTCACTTTAATTTCTAAGTAATTGCACACAATTATGTCATAATGAGTGGTTTTGTAAAGATTAAGATATGTGTGAAATGGATACTCCAATGATTGCATACCAGGCCGATTACCCTATCAATGATACAAAACATCTTAAACTATTCACACTCTTTGGTGAACCGGGAGGCCTCGCCAGAGTAGACTATGAGTAGTGGACAGCATATGTTGACTCTGTTCCTATTTGAAAGTTTAAGACTTTTTAAGTAATTGTACATGGTCAATGAATGGAAATGGGGGGGGGCAAATGGATCGAAATCTGTTGGACTCCGGAAGAAGCGGTAATGTCTGCGGCCATCGAGTCATCCGACTATAACAATGTACACGAAGAGCGCTTCCAATACACGCCTGAGTGGACGATCACCACAAAGAAGTCCCACATTTTGCAGTCCAAGTGTGTGTCGCCCTTCATATGCGACAAAACGAAAGGCGCCGACAGTTCACAGGACATGGATTTGGACAGACTTTGCATGTTTTGCCGGTGAGTGTGCTGTCCATATACTGACACCCATTGACCACCGATTGTCTGACTGTGTCTTCAGCTACGAATGGCTGCTATCGATGCCACACATGCCGGACATGACGTACGCCAACAACTGGCTGGTGATCGGCCACAAGAATGGCTTCCGACTTGAGTTCAATTGTCTGGAAGCGCTGATACTGGTGTCCAAAGAGCCGCCCCAACACCTGAAGGTGGGCGCCGCCGATGATTGGATGAAATCGCGGGCCGGCAGTCAGTACACCCGAGTGACGGCCAAACCGTTTGACTGGACCTTCACTACTGACTACAAGGGCTCACTCGTTGCCAACGCACAGGGAGTCGGCTTCCAGTGTGTGGCCACCGATGAACGCATAGACATCGAGCGACTGAAGGCTAAGGACGAGATCCTCTTCTACGACGACATCGACCTCTTCGAGGACGAGTTGGCCGATCACGGAGTGGCCAAGAGTTCCGTCAAAATTGTGAATACCTTTCCTTATCTCACAAATGAGAGAGGAATGGGATCTATTGCTAGACATTCCCATTCCCTACCAATTCATGACTTGAAATAATTAAATCAATTGTTTGTCTCATTATCTGACAGCGAGTAATGAAAAACTCATTTTACATTTTAATGAGATTTTTCTTACGCATCGATAATGTGTTGGTTCGCCTCAACGACACCCGACTCTACCACGAGGTTCGTCACCCAATCCCTCCCGTTCCCCATCAAGCATGTGATTTAATACTCTGGTGTATCCCCAATAGGTGGGCACTGGTTATATACTTCGCGAGTATACAAATCGAGAGGCGTTTGTGAAGGACCTGAACATACCGGCGCCCGTACTCATAGATCCCGTGCGACTCAGCGAACACTTAAAGCCCAGTCAACTAATCTGTCATAAGATTACGTTTAATTCCGATTAGAAATCATTGTGTCTTTAAATTGTATACAATTCACACATTTTATCATTTAATTTCAATTTTTATGCCCACTATAAACAATCAATTGATTTAATTTCTATTGAATTTTGTTACTGTAAACTTGTGAATACTTGGAAATTGCTGGGATTAAGGGTATTACCTGTACTTGAGTTATAATTGAATACTTAAATGTACGGTAATATGAATAAATTCTCAATAAATCTAGAGTTAAATTTATTAAAATATTTTATTCGTTCATTAAGTTAATATCCGTAATGTGTTTATGTTTTACAATTTAGTGCATCACTGAGTAATCGTTTAAATTGAACCCTATTTACAATTACACCAATTAAATGATTAGCTATGGTAGTAGTGGTGGACATGGATGTGCTGTTAGTATATGTCTTCAACGTTCACTCTCTGGTAAGTCGTTGTCAACGAACAGTATCTCAAAGAGTCGTTTACAGTAATCGAGTTCTTCGACGAGCTCTTCCGTACCGTTCAATTCATTGATTCGTTTAGTGAGGAAGTGCTTCATCTGTCGGTCGATGTGCCGACAGTCGGCCCTCGACTGCGGGTGCGCTGAGACGAGTGCGTACAGAGTGGCCAACACGTACTCATGAGTCGAGTCGTGGGGCCCCTGAAGACCACTAATCAATTGATCCAGAAGACCCAAATCGTACATCGATTGACATATGTCTGGCTTCTGACACAACGAGCTCATGAGGAATGAGGCCTTAATCTTGAGCCGGTTGTCGGTGTGAGCACTGGTAGCACTGGTGGCCACAGCGTTGATGAGGACCGACAGTCCGTCCAGATCTTTGCTAAACACCTGAAGCGCGCGATCGTTGTCTCGGATGACACAAGAGATGGCGTAAAGAGATTTGACGCGAACCTTATCGGCGACTGTCTTGTCGTCCAGAAGTCGCACCAATAGGTCCAACAAATGGCTGTCCAGCGCCTGTTGTTGACAACTGGACTCGTTTTGGACGACTTCGGCCAACAGTTCACACGCACTAACCCTCAGCTCATCCGATGTCGACGCCAGTAGTCCGGGAAAGACATCGAAGCCACCGATTTTGCAGAAGTCTTGAGCCGAGTCCAGACTACCGGTGCGACGACTTCGGCCAACAGATCACACGCACTAACTCTCAGCTCATCCGATGTCGACGCCAGTAGTCCGGGAAAGACATCGAAGCCACCGATTTTGCAGAAGTCTTGAGCCGAGTCCAGACTACCGGTGCGATCGATGAGAGCGTCGATCGCTGTCTGTATTTTGTCGACCGTTTCCATCGACAGCAGGCCGTCAGCGGTGGTCTCATTCAAGCCATTCTTAATGACATCCAGATTTGTTAGCATCTCTCGCAAGACATCGGTGGTCATGGAGCTGAGCGCCTCCGACAGCCACTGTCTTCGTTGCGGATCCAATGGATGCAACTCCTGGTCGTTGGCAACCGATGACGGGTCTTGCGGTACGGTTTCCATACATAGTCGCAGGAGGTCTTGAAAATCACGCGGTTGTCGAGGAGGGGGTCGCGATCCGTCAGCCATGGCTTTCGTGGACACACACTTGGGATCAAGTTTTCGGTGATAATTGTGAGGAAAAAGTTTTGAAAAACTTTTTGGTTTGTATTCACTCTTATGGAGTGAACAGAGAAACAGTGCTTTCGATTCAATACTGAATACTGTTTTCAATATTTATATCAAAATGAATGCACTTTTCGAGACATTACCAGAAGTTTCTACATTATTGTTAAGGCAGCACTAAAAAGCTACCAGTGCTCTCAGCATACCGGTGCGCATGTATTCACAAAACCCATTGCAACTCCTTGAGCGCACTGGTAGTCTATCAAATGCTTCCTATGGAAAGGCATGTTTTAAATACCTATAGTACCGGTGCTGAGGACATGATCACCACATTTACAGGTAATTTACTCAATGACCAGATTTTTGTAGTGATCTTATAATCGATGAATTGGTGTATAATATGATGAATAAAAACCTCCAATAGATCCTTCTTATAACCGCTGATGACTATCATTACAAATAACTGATTATTATTGCCATTCATTATCAATACATTGATTGCCATTCATATCACATGTGCTCTCATAAGACATCACTTTTTTGTTATCTCTTTGTCTTTAGGTCTTCAAGCGTTCAGATAATGTGGTTATGGTTTGGCAAATGAGTGGTAAATCCCTGTCCAACACTACCTCCCGTTCCCTAAATTATATTCAAACATAAGTGCTAGTAATTGAACTCTACTTTTCTCCCATTCCTATCCTAATTAATTGAATTTAGTTTTGTATTTATAAATGTTTTTATGATTAACATTAAAAGTGTATTAATTCATTGATTGAATAAAATTTTTATTAATGAAAAATTTGAATGTTTTATACTGTACTGTACTATACTATATATAAAAATAGTTTAATTGATGAAATTAAAGACAACTTTTAGATGTAAAAAAGTATAAGAATTTATTTGAACTCAAAATAATAATCAAAACAATTGAATGGATTAACAGAATAATAGATAAATAGTTTGAATGAAACCCAGAATATGTGAACGGATTGTAGATTTAGTGGTCAATTGGGTTATGTCTCTCATATCAACTGAATTCTCGACAGAAACTGTTGATTGTGTGGACACGACATCCAGTCCTCTGAAGTACTCTGCGGTCATTGCTTGTGTGTCATTGGAATCAATGGATCCGTTGGTAATCTTATATGAATCGCATCTCAAGAACTCGTAATTGGATTTCCAGTGACACTCACCACTGGTATCACTATTACTGTCAACTCGGGAACTGTTAACGATATATACGACACAATGTCTGTCGTCCACAAAGAAGTACATCTCATGTGTCGTGGGATTCACTCTTCGCGTGAAAGCGGCCTTAAATCGGATGTCTTGAGGGACGCCATACTTAGCCATCTCTGTGGCGACATTTGAGAGGACAGGCGTTGAGTACTCGAAGCCTAACTCAAAAGTAAAGCCCAAAACTGTGTGATCTTTGAACACAAATTGGATCCTTTGGTCGATGGCATCGAAATAAGAGGCACTCGTCTCGCGAGACATCAACTGAGAGATCGTCTCGTTTTTGGAGCCGATGGACGACTTGAGACCCATGTGTGGCATATATAGCAGTGACGCCCACTCGACCTCATAGGGCCTCAGGTTCTTGTAGACCAAGAAATGAGTGAAATTCATGTAAATACTGGAACCGACGAACTCTGTCATCGATGGGTTGGCAGTCATAGTGACGGCTGACTCCACATAATTGCCGTCCAAATTGGGAAACACTTGTCGCGTGAGATAAGGACCGGAAAGGGAGTCGTCGTTCAAAAGCCAAACCCGTCTGCCTTTGAATACAGCAATGGTTTTGTTATGCAATTCAGTGATTGAGTCGATGTTCCCGTCTTCGCAGACGTCTTCACTCGTTGACATCAATACACCACTCATTGGTATCATTGGTATCAATACCACAATCAATAAGAAATTCATTACAAAACACATTGAAATGAATCCGTATTTCAAATGCAAGTTCCCATCAATTAATTGGTTTTATGTATAGTTAGCCCGCAATCGGTTTCAATCAGTTATTCAACATTTGAATTGAAGTCTCATTTGTCGCGCGAAACCATAATTAGGATTATTATATGAATTGAATTTCATTTTATTCATCAAATTACACATCAAATGATATTCTGTTACAAAATTCCGTTACTTTTGCAGACAATCTCTAGAATTGATTTCAATTGAAAAGATTTCTTTGATATTTGTCTCATAAATACCATTAAAATAGAGATGTTTTTGAATATAAAAATAGTTTGTATTGTAATACTGACAGTCATTATAGAGCTGACATCACTAGAATTGATTTCAATTGAAAAGATTTCTTTGATTTTTGTCTCATAAATACCATTAAAATAGAGATGTTTTTGAATATAAAAATAGTTTGTATTGTAATACTGACAGTCATTATAGAGCTGACATCTCCGGCAGCCCTTCCCGTGAATCGTCTGAAATCGGATCCAATGACGATCGGAATCTATGTGTTTGCGGGTATAGTAGGCCTACTGTTCCTCATTCTCATCCTTTTGTGTCTATTCTTCATCTGCTGTAAGAAAAAGACGAACAAAAGGAAGACACCGAAGAAGAAGAGTCCGTCGCCTAAGAAGAGTCCCAAACAAGAGATGGCGAACACAGACGCAGACAAAGCACCGGTAGTCACACCAGTAGGCGATGAAGATATGAAACCGAAGGCAATCCACAGTTCAATGAAAGCAAAGGTCGAGAGAATCCTGAATAAGACCGGAGGGAGGGCTCAGCCCCAGGAGACCGAAGCCCAGTCCCCGGCGGACGACAAAGTGAAACACGAGTACAGCTCGTGGGGGAAGAAGATAGAGAAGGCTATGGATCCCAATCCCAGTCCTGCGGACGACGACAACAGAGAGACGAAGAAAACCAAGAATACTGGCCGTCAGTCACGGGTCGGTAAACGCATCGACGAAATTAGCGCTCAATTGAAAGACAAGAAACCTTTGCGTAAAACACAGAAAAAGACGCCAAAAGTAGAGGCAAAGGACGAGGAGATGGAGGAGGAGACGGAGGAGGAGGCGCCGCAAAGTGTGAGTCCAATGCCCACCAAATACAACAGCGATGTCGAGGGGAAGGCCAACAAAATTATGGAGGATTTGGAGTAGAAATGAGCGTTTGTTTCGTCTCTAAAATGTTTGATTTGTATTATATTTATATTCAAATTCATTTAAACCGTTTTCAAACACACGTTAATAAATCTAATAAATATAAATGATTTTATAAGTCAATAGTCTTTTTTATTTGTTAAAATACCATTGGGACAGGGATGTAAAACAAGATTCTTAATTTGATTCATTGAATTTTAATTATATGTTTATCTACCGATAAAATAATTAATGAATTTATTGCGAGAAAGTTGTACTTAAATGACAACAATTATAATGAATTATTTGAATTTACAAAGCAATTGAAATTAACTGAAATTCAGTGAATAACTTAATAAACATTAAATTATTTTCTAATCCTATTTTGAAAACAAATTCATTGAATTCTGTCGTAAAACTCTGTAAATTCTTATATGTTTTATAAAATGAAATTATTTGTAATATATTTGTTTGCAATTCTTGGTATGTATTCAACACCACTTTGAATGTAATGAACTCTGATTTGAAAATATATTAATTATTTACTTTAATTAACACTTTAACCGAAAGTAATAGAAATGAATGGTTTTGATAATGACTTGAACTGCGGACGCAATCTATTGAATGCCCAGAAGTTTATTATTGGAGGCAATGATGTGAAGAATAATGAGTTCCCATTCATGGCATCCATTCAGAGACCTAAAGACGATGTCAACCATAAGTCCCCGCAATTTAAGCACAATTGCGGTGCGACTGTACTTAATAAGCGTTGGATATTGACAGCCGCCCA